GGGAAGTAGAACAATTCAATGTGATTGCTATTCATAAATGATCATGGCAAACAGCCTAAGTGGAATAGTGGCATGGCCATTCAGTACAAATGGGTGAGATTTCCCTTGTTATGGGACAACTAGTCTTAGTACTGAAAATCTGATCCTAAGAGTGTCCCACATAAGTTGACTATCTAGCTCTTCTGGAAGACCTCCAACCAGCTAACTAGTCAGTCTCATAGTAATAATATCTGGCCTAAGTTTGGACTTTTTTGCCTCTTCCCATTTTGTTTTTTGCAATTCCCGATGAAGAGTTCTGAAAACCTAGAAAGTTTGCAACTCTTTAGTGTTATTTTGATTGATGAAAATAAAAGTGTTTTTCAATCTCTGAATTTTGGATATTTTATCCCAAGGGCCTATACAGCTGTGATTACTTTTAATATCTCAAGCAACATTTTAAAAATACAGTATTTAAGCATTTTAAATTAATGAGTGCACAGGGCTATCTGGCATATTCTCATGCCCTATTAAAGGAGAAACTAATCAATTGATTTTAGCTTGAGTGTTATATTGTAAGGGCTGAAGCTGGTGATACAGGAACCAAGAAATGTTCCACAAAGATATTATTTAAACATGAAGCAGTTGTCTCCAACATCCAAGGCTGGGTAAAGTACAGCCAACAGCCTGTCACTTTGAAAGGGAAGGAAGAAAAGGTCTAGGATTTAAACTCTGGGGCCAACATATATATATCTAGTCATCTCAAGTCTATTAGTTTCTACTGTTTGGTAGTTACTGAATGAGGGGTTCCATAAATAATTTCACTCTGACCCAGATCAATCTGACCTGAAAAATACGCTGCATTTTATATGCCATGATGGCATGCATGATTAGAAATGATGGCTATGATTCTACTGTAAGCAGATAGTTGTAGCAATTTACAGTATATGCTAAAAATTAAAAAAAGACTAAGAATTTACTTGAGGTAGTAAGCTATTCTGAGGTCTCTGCAAACCATTTTTCATCCATAATAGCCAATATTATCCAAGATTTTTTTCTGAAATAAATCACATCTCTAACAACCATTCTGAAAGGTGTGTTGCTTTCCCTGCTTTGTTACAGTGGTAATATTGTTTGTCGCTTTTCCAAAAAAGTTCTCATTTTTTTTGTTTGGCAGCTTGGCATTTGTAACCCATATTAATGACACACTGTACTTGCAAGTGGATTGTGAGCTTCTATTTAAAAAAGGCTGGAAATAAATGAATACAGATGCCTTTTCCTTCTCCTGGACGTTCGCTGAGACAGTCAGCTTCACTATGGCATAAACCTGAAAAGTCCCATTCAGCAGCATTTCTGCTTTGCAAGTTCAGAACCTGGTGTTCGTGCACCTTAGGATCTTGAATCTTCTTTCTCCTCTATAGCCATTCTTCCTAATTTTGTGTCATCTGCAAATTTGATCATCATCCTTCAACCCTCTCATCTGGGTAATTAACAAAAGGACCCAGGTCAGAGCCTTTGATTACTTGATACTAATCTCCACTTAGAAGGACTCTCTGGGTGGAGTCATTCAGCCAGTTCTTATACTATTCAACAGTTGCATAATCTAGCCATAATGAATAACTTACTATTTCATTAATGTGAATTATCATGACAGACTTTGTGAAATATTTTGCTGAGCAACGTAAGTACAACTTAATTGAAATTTAAAAGAAAGGACCCCCCCCCCACACACAAACAGCACATATTTATTTATTAGATTTATATCCCATCTTTATTTGTATAAGTTAAAATGGCATACATAATACTCTGTCTTCCTATTTCCCCATAACAACAACCCTGTGAGGTGGGTTGGGCTGAGAGAAACTGGCCCAAAGTCACCCAGCTGCCTTTTACGCCTAAGGCGGGGCTAGAACTCAGGGTCCCAGTTTCTAGATCAGCTCCTTAACCACTACATCAAAGTGGCTCTCTCTATCACCTGCTCATCCCACATTAGAATTTACCAGTTCTGGCAGGGCAACCAGGGATTGCTCCCAATATAAACAGGGAGCAAACTCCACACTTACTCACACTGATGATGTTACCTGGTTGGGTAATGAAATGTCTGCAAGCAAACAACCAAGCTCAGAGAGCACCAAGGACTCCACAGTTCAACCCTGAGCTACAGATATTCTCTTCTGTTGGAACAATGAAGAAAGGCAACATGCCAATAGGTAACAAAGAAAAGACAGAGTTACTAAATTCTTCTTTTGCTTCACTCTTCTGAAAAAAACAAATCCATCAAGAAGTTATGAAAGACAGGATGTAGGAAGAGGTCTTTAGTTTGAGTTTAAATTTCCAGGATGACATGAATTGCATCCTTGGGTAGGTACTGAAGGAAGTAGCTAATAGTCTGGCTGAACTCCTATGTATTATCCCTAAGAAATCCTGGAGAATTGATGAAGGGCCAGATGACTGAAAAAAGAATGAACATGTTCCTGTCTTCAAAAAGAGGAAAATGGAAGATATAGCAAACCAGAGACCAAGTGATCTAATATTAATATCTTGGGCATATCATAAAGAGATGGATCTGCAACCACCTTTAAATCAATGCAGTAATTAGCAGAAGTCAGCATGCATCTATCAAGAACAAAACTTCCGGACTAATCTTATCTCATTTTTTTGATCAGGCTACTTTCTTAATAGATTGTGGAACTGCTATAGCCATAATATACCTTGGTTTTAGGAAAGTATTTAACAGAGCTCCCCATGACATGCTGATTAATAAGCTAATTAAATGTGAGCTATATGGCATAACAATTAAGTGAGTACATATCTGGCTTGAAAATCATACTCAAAGTGATCATCAATGGCTCCACATCAGATTGGAAAGAGATGACAAAGTGTCACAAGGATCAATCATGGGTCCTCTACTAATCATTAATGATTTGGATGAAGAGGTGGAAAGAAACTTTGCAAATACCACAAAATTGGTTGAGATAGTTAATATACCTGAAAACCGAAATAAAATTAAAAATGATTTTGAATGGTTGGAGAAACAGGCTGAAAGAAACAGAATTACATGTAACATAGACAAATGCAAAGTTTTTCTCTTGAGAAACTGCACTTGTTTATGCAAAGTTTATCAAATGCAAAGTTTATCCAATGCACTGGTCTAGGATGGAAGATACCTACAGTAGCTTGGTAATAGTATTTATTGGAATATAAATTTATTGTAAACTGAATATGAGCCAGCAGTGTGATGTGGCTGCAAAAAAAGCAAACACAACTTTTGATACACGAATAAAAGTATGATTTCCAAATTCAGAAAGTAATTGTTCTACTTGATTCTGCTTTTGTCAGATCTTACTTTGAGTACCATGTCCAATTCTGATACCACATTTTAAGAATGACTCAGAAAAATTGGAACAGGGAATAGAAACTATGATATTTATATAAATTAGAAAGATTCAAAAAAGTAATAATGCTAAATAATTTTATATCAGGGTAATTTCTTTATTAGGCATTCAGTTTTATGAAATAGCATGCAAACTTCTGAGTTTGCAAGTACACTTGATCAAGCAAGATGATAAAGAATGCAGATGATGAGCAGGAAATATACGTATTTAGTTAGAATATGATAAAATGCAGCACATACACAAATCAATTTATATCAGGTGCTGAGATGATTTTAGATGATACAATGTTCTCCTGAGGGCTAATCCCCATTTTGAAATACAGGATCCATCTATTAACTTGAATTCTTTCGAACATTTTGCCCTAATTAAGCCTGACAAAAAGTAGGCAGAAAAATATATCAAAGTCAACTCCATGGAGAGGGAATGATAGACTTTGCTTGCCGCTTGCCTCGTTTAGCGTCTAAGACAAGTACAAACACACTGCAGCAACCCAGAACACCAGAAAAAGGAAACAGACCACCTATACAACATCTTCATCAAAATGGATACCCCTGCAACTTTATCAAAAAGTGCCTGACCACTCAACCCACTATAGCACAACCAACAATAGCACAAACACAGCACAAACACAATGAAAAGGATAACACTATCATACATCAAAAACATCTCAGAAAAACCAACAGACTATTACAACCACATGGCATTGCCATAGCACACAAACCAACTAAAGCCCTCCAAAA